GCAGAGCCTGGCAGGGAGAGCGTTACAGCAAAAGTAGCTAAATAGTGTAATTTTTCTTTTTATAATTCTGATACATCGCGGTGGCCATTATCCACGCACAGAATGAGAGCTGCTCCCCTGGCCTTGTGGGCAGAGTAGCGAAGGTGGAGTAGGCCATTATCTCTGTTTTGTAGACAGGGATCCAATAATAACATGATAAATGACTTGCTCTGGGTCTAAAGAAAGTCTTTAGCACAGCTGTGTACCGAACCGATGCCACGTGCTTGCATCCTGCCTGAAGTACAATCCCTCTTTTATTTAAAAGGGAGGTTGGCCAACTCATTTTTGCCACATGCCAGTTTCAGCAGCAGACGTGGTGGCAATTGGCATGGCAGCAGGTATACAAATCCTCAGACAGTGGCAGACCTTACCTCCTTTATGGTCTGTGCACCCCCATGAAGCACTACAGAGACCCAACACAACAATTTGGGAGCCTCTCGGATTTTACTCCTTACTGTTCAGCCTGTTCAGCCTGGAGAAGAGGAGGCTGAGGGGAGACCTCATCGCAGTCTACAACTTCCTCGTAAGGGGGTGTCGAGAGGCAGGAGACCTTTTCTCCATTAACACCAGCGACAGGACCCGCGGGAACGGGGTTAAGCTGAGGCAGGGGAAGTTTAGGCTGGACATCAGGAGGGGGTTCTTCACAGAGAGAGTGGTTGCACACTGGAACAGGCTCCCCAGGGAAGTGGTCACTGCACCGAGCCTGACTGAATTTAAGAAGAGATTGGACTGTGCGCTTAGTCACATGGTCTGAACTTTTGGGTAGACCTGTGCGGTGTCAAGAGTTGGACTTGATGATCCTTAAGGGTCCCTTCCAACTCAGGATATTCTATGTTGTTTCTTGCACTGGTGTCTCGGTGAAACCCATCTTCATCCCTGCAGGAGACAGGCAGTGAGAAACCAGGGTGCCCTTAGCAGTCCCTTGGGCACCTGTTACCGATGTGGACACCTCCTTCATGGCCAGCAGTTGATGGCCTGGGGAGAGAAGTGCTCCTCCAGGGTTCAACTCGTCCTCTCCTGAGACTGGTGTCTAAAGTAGGACAGTTTCCTTGCTAGGGTAACCTCACCTCTTTCTCTTGTCCACAGACAGAGACTAAAAAAATAATTTTTAGATCCGGTTCTACAGTTTTCAGGAAAAGCAGAATCTGCTGTATTACCAGTCTCAAATCCTGCTGGGCTGCACCGAGGCACTGAGCTGATTTTCTTTAGCAAAAATACCAACATGTAATAGTCTCCAAGGGCTACTGATAACACAGTCACCGTACGTATCGAGAATGCGGTGCTGCTTCGGTAATTCATATTTACTGTGTGCTTTGATGCTCTTGGAGGAAAGGCCTGACTAAAGGAGCAAAATATTGTGACTACAGCTCCTAAAGTGAGACAAAGGGAAGGGATTAGGATCTGGCTTGCCACTGCATTTTGCTCAAGTCTATTCTAGGGAGGCTGCATCACTGCAATCTCTAAGCGCCTTCTGGCAGTGCACTAAGAGATGCTACCAACATCTGCCACTGAGTCACCCTCCTTTCCCTCTTTTCCCAGAGCTAGAAGGGTATGTGCTTTTTGTAAAGGAATATGCAGCTTTATATCCCATCTAGCGTGTGCCAGGGGCCCTAAAAGTGCTTAGCAGTCTGCTTAAATAAATACTAAAACTCTTCAGGTTGTTATGCTACTTTACAGCAGGTAGCAAAGATGGTTACCGGGTGGGGAACCAAGGCAGAGAGACTGAAAATCCACCATACAAAGTGCATGGACAGCAGAGCCAACACCAGGCACCAAATCTTGTGGTGCCTTGTTAGTATTACATGTTAGTGATGAGCTGGGAAAGCACATTTGGCAGTACGTGGCTGATAGAGGAGTCATGGTTGCACACCAAGATGTTGGTGGGAGATGCTTTGCTTTCTGTGAGCCCAGATATACAAATGCAATACTAGGGTTGGTGGGGAGGGCTTCCAGTCTTCCCTTCTCCTTCGCCAGGCAGGTTATTGGGGTGGCCACTGCACTGGTTTACATACAGCCTGGCTCATTCTGTGGGATGGAGCCCTTTTCCTTGCTGACATTAACTTCTCTTGTGCCAAGCCCCCATCAGAAAATGCCTGTTTTATTAGGTCTCATTTTAAGCAAAACCAATATTTTACCTCGTCCTTGAACGTGCTGCTCATTTATAAAGCAGATCCATGAGATGGCTGACATTTTTCAGGGAAGATGAAGGAGGCTCAGTATCTTATAAATCGGTCAGTTTGGAGCTTTCACTGTGAGTGATGTTTCTAAAATGCTAACATCATCTCTAATTTCTCAAAATTACACTTAATTTATGTTGTGGTTGTTCACTACTCTGTTGGTTTAGGAAAACAGTTTACAATTAACTCTGGATGATAAGATTTAATAAGAGCTTTCACACATTTTTATCCTACTCATCTGTTTTGGCTTGTAAATGCAACATTGACTTTTGATTTCTTTAGTGGTTGGACAGCTGGCTGAATAGGAGTTGAGAATTTCAAATATATGGGAATTGTAAAATAAGTTTTCCTTGGATTAATAGTAGAGTTAATTTTCTTCTGTAGGACTGTATTTATCATGCCACCCATAGACTCATTTATTTCACCAGTTTAAAAAATGACTTTGCATCATGTCACCTATGCCACAGGAATAATTTATGAAGTGATAAAAGGAGGTCTGCTGAGTTAGCACAAATTGCCATTCAGTTACCAAAATTTGGTTACAGGTTACCAAATACAGTGTTTTCCTCTGAAATCTTAGGCATTTTTTTTTTCAGCTTCTCTGTGCTTCCATTTATTTGTCTTAAAAAATAAATAAATAAATAAAGTACCAGGTATTAGGATCTTACTTATCACAGGATTGCAAAGCCCTTTGCATACAGTCTAAAGGTAGAATATGCATCTTTTTCCTTATCCCTAGTGGACATCTTAAAGACATTTTAATGACACTTCTTCCTGGTCAGTAGGCACAAGACTGAGACTGTTGGAAGGTACGTACTTCAACTAGTTAGTTTGTTTTTTTGAGAATGTGTCTCTAAGATGAAAACAAGCATGATTTTTCTAAGCCAAAAAGATGCTCTGAGGTTGGAAGTGGTCATGTGCAGGCTGGGTGTCCCTGTTTCTGTTGGAAGGTCACTTGATTGTTCTGTACCTCTTTTTTCCTACCTTCCCAATCCATGATACCTGTGCCTTTACAGAATAGTTGGGTGAGGTTCTTCAAGAAGAAGAGACCTTGCTGGACAGGTTGTATCCGTGTGGCTGATCCCAAAAGAACTCAAGCAAAAAGGAAAACAAACAAGCCCAAACAACCCACCCTGTGTTAGCATTACTGCTTGGTAGAAGATGAGTTTTTCTCCTCTGAGCTTGGAAACACTGCTCTTGTAGAGTCACAGCGATGCATGTTGTAGCTCAGGAAGGCAACAAGAAGGTTATGGAGCTGTAGAAATTCTCCTGTTCCAAAATGTATCCTGGGCTGCCCAGGGGAAAATGTCTTCATACCTGAGGGAAAAGGGGATTCATGTGTTCCCTAACTTCTCCCTCACAACTGATTTGGATAAGGACCAGGTCAAGAAAATCTGAGACCTTGAGAGACTCCCTGGTGGCCAGCAGTGACTCTGACTCTCTGAAGGACTGGTGTCAGTGAAGTCTCAGAGCATTAAGCTGCACTGGGAGGAACAGGGCTCTGTGCACGGCTCCAGGTTCTCCACACACTCCAAGCAGCATCTGAATGATGTTTTCCAGGTTTCTTCTCTTGACTTGGTGGAAAAGGCAAAATCTCCTATTCTACATTCATCATGCTACTCCCTTGCTGAGGAGGATCACGTTGTACTCTGGAAATAATAAGCCTTTAACTAGGGGTTCAGCTTCCTGAGTCCCAGAATGAGCCTGGGGAATTTCTCTCTCACACTGAACAGGAACAAAATCTCACCCCGAATCGTGATAGGCATTGGCTTTATTTATTTATGTGGATGTTACGGCAAGCTCTTCTGCCTCTGTTATTAGATGTGATAGCTCATGCAGTTTTCAGGAAAAAAAATAATAGGACCAGTCATTGTGGGACTGGCCGATAGATATTAAAATGCTATTTTTGAAAATTCATACTCCCCAAGAGTCCCATTCCTTAATGGTGGGCTTAATAACAAATGAGATTTTAAAATGGTATTCAGGCATTGTACTGTCTTCTACAAAACCTCCTAAAAAAATCATGTGATTTTTAGAAGTCACTGTAAAGATATTTCCTTCCATGTCCTCCACCACATTACCCTAATGTCTCTTGGGAGTGTGGGCATCACGCTGCTTCTTCTGCTCAGAGCCAGTGATGCAGGTGGTCTGATCCTACCACTTCCGAGGCCAACAGTAAAATATCATGTCTGTCAGTGGGGACGGGATTTTTAGAAAGTTTACATGGAATTTAAAACTCGGTCCCTAAGTCCTTAGCTTGGCAGTAGGACTCCCCAGCCCTTATTGCTCTCCTTGGATCGTAGCTCTCACTCCACCTGAGCTTCACTGCTATCCCCGCTGATATTTCTCCATCTGTTTATAGCGGATGCACTGGTACAGATCATGTCTGCATCACAGTCCAAATGACATTCAAATCACTGACGTCTGTGCAGGAGAACTAATCCCTTAGGTGATGCAGCTGTGTAGTGGTGGCTATATTGGAGCACTCTATTCATGGCCCTGCAAGAAACAGGGCACCACAGGGAGAAAGTCAGTTCCTCCTCTTCTGCGTGCTGCATGTGACAGCAGGCACAAATTAGGATGGCTTGGATAGGCCCACTCCATGTTTATACCAGCTGCATGTGAAGAAGATACACAAAGGGCTATTTCTTGAGCAGTATGCAGTGAGTTGCCTCCCACCCTGACAGGCAGGAGGAGGGAGAGAGCTGCAGCACGCTTATTTTACAACAGTACAGATATCCCTACATGCCGTTCTCACCTGTTGTTCCCTGTCTTCTCTCCTAGGGAGCAGCAGCCTCTCCTGGGTTTGGTCTGACTAACAGCTGAGCCAGCAGAAACCAAAGTGGTGAAGCCTGACAGCATGGTGGTAATAAGGCCCGGGCAGCACAAAGTCAGAACCAATTGAATCTCCTCAACTTTGAATTTGTCCAGGTCAGAACTTTTCTAGAGTCTGTCAGGCACCATTTGTCTCTTTCACATGCCTCATTTCTCCTACTAACGGCCAGCACAGGTAAGATGTTGTGCATATGCAGGAGAGACCTCTGGGATCCATCCATCCCCCTTGGTTTGATGGTTCCTGGGAGCTGCAGGCAGGCAGCAGGCAATGAAGCAGGTTCTGGTTTGCTCTATGTGAGAGCTGCACCAGGCAAAACCCTGGTGCAGCCTAGTAAATCGTATTTCAAGGTGACCAAAATATTACATTTGGGTCCCCAAGGATCCGTGTTACTATTGATTTTAATGAATGGCCTAAAAGGGGCTCTGTAGTTAGGCAGCAAACGTGAAGGTGGCATAAAATGATTAAGAGCAATAAAAGCTGGAGGAGAAAAGACAAAATCAAGAGGGACCTAATAAAGCTGGAATAATGGTCAATTCAGCAGCAAATGAAGCTCAGTGTTGCAAGAAAATTTATGCCATAAAGAATGATGTTAACTCTTTTTATGCATTCTTGAGTTCTGCATTTTGCTCTGAAAAGATCTGGGCTCTTGACAGACAGCTTAAAGAAAGCTGCTATTCAGAGCCTGGGTGTGATGACCGATGCAGTATGAGAGATGACAGGTCACGCAGACTTCCTAGACGAGACAGAGATGGATGGTAGGAAGGGAAAAGGAAATCATCAGAGCCTGTAGTGCTTGCCCATGGTTGCTCATAAAGCCAAATGTAGAGTAGAGGGCTTCCAGATGTCATGCCTAGGGCCAGACTGAACTGCATGGATAAATCCTCAGAGGCTAGGCCATTAACTAAGAAGGAAGCACTTCCAGAGGGCCGTTGCATCGTATTCATGGCCATAGTAGGGGCATGAGTGGTTCTTTGTCTAGCTCTGTTAGTTAGGGAGCTCAACTTTTAGGGGTCTGGAATTAGTGAAATGACTTACACTTTCTGCTCCTTTCCTCTGAACCATTTAGGTTACACATAGGCCTGTGGCTGTCACTTTGAGGTGTCTCCTGGTGTGGCAAAGCCCAGACCTGTGGCAGGCTGAGCTTCTTGTTGTAAACCACCAGCAGCAGGCTTTGTGTAGCGCTACAAATGTCCAAGCACACGGCCAGGCCTGGCCTTGAGGAGACCCAGGGCAGGAGACTGAGGACCTGTGTGATCAGCAGATTTATTTCACAGCCACTATATGGCACCATACATCTCCTTTGGGCTCAATCTTCTCCCTTATTCTACTTTGGGCCCTGATGTGTTGGCAAATGGATCGGTTTTATATCTCATCTGTAAATGCAGGGAGATCTTCAGTTTTGTTTGTGGGAGGGTGATAGATGCAAGTGTTGATTGTTTGCATAGAGATTTCACAGTCTGCAAAAACACTGTCACCTGTTCCACAGAATGGGAAAAATCCAGGCTGCCAAGCATCTTCTAAACACCAGCTGGTAAGTGTCACAGCATCAAGCTGTCCAAGTATTGACTGGGCTCATGAGTTTAGGCAAAACAAGGGGGTAATCAGAGAAGCCAACTGCGGCGTGCGGCTTAGGAAAGTGGAGGATTCTCCCTGGAGGGTCCCTGAAGGTGTGAGTGCAAACACCTGACAAAGGTGCCACGGTCCTTGCCCGCTGTGTGACACACAACCTGGGAGGATGGTCTCAGCCCCTGTACAGCCTTTCTAGCAGAGGCCACTGCTGGGGGCTTCTCTGGAGTAAAAGCAGACCTTGGAACATGTTTTCTTTGGGAAAAGCCTCAGTAAATGCAGTAGGTGTCTTCAAGTTGAAGGCAATGTGATTCTGGACTGCATTTCTACTCCCCTTCCTTCCACTCTAGCTAAAATGGTAGAAATAAAGCAGTCTGGTCTCAGGACGTGAGGAATTATCTGGAGGCTTTTTTTTTACCATAGATTGTGGCTAAAACAAAAGATGGAAATGGTCTGTAAATACTGAACTGTAGCTCTGCAGAGGAACACAGTCGTCTGAGTGTATTGTAGGCTTGTATGGCAGTAAGGGATGCTTTGCTTGTGCTCCCCAGGGAAGGCTTTCAACACTGAACATATTGATGTTGTGGAAGTTTGCCTAGACGGCTATGGAGCCTTAGCAGTTGGAGGTTTTCAGAATAATCAGGCATCTGCTTAAAATATATAAAATTGATTATTAATTCAGACAGGGAAGCGGTGTGAGATAGATGTGCTCTCTATTCTTCCTGCCCTACATTCTGTGATTCCTGCTTAATCAGGGGGGTGAGCAAGCTCTCAGAAGTCTCTCAACTCCAGTTTTGAATGCTGCACCTCATTTCCTTGATCGTGGTGGTTACAGTTCTTTGTCTAGTATTATAAAATCAACACAGTATGTGAGGGTAAGTGCTACAGCATGAGTAAAAGAATCATTATCAGGTATATTTCCATGCTTTTTCCCCAGAGGTGTAAAGCTCAAGGGGTAAGCAGAACCCATGGCATATTATATTTGCAAAAGCAGAGAGTTTCATCATGGTAGATTGAATAGCCACTTTATTGTTGTTGTTTTATTTGTTTTGTTTTGTTTTCTAGCTGGCTACCTAGTTCTCCAGGGTGCATGACTTTGTATGAGCCCCGGTGGAAACAATGCTGCTGTCTCAAATTGATGCAGCCTAAGATTCGGCCAAGTGGAGGCAGCAGTGTTTTGTGCATCTCTGCAACAGAAACTAAGCAAAAGGTGCCGGTGGTAACTGGGTGATTATGTCTGCACATGTATTTCCTGGGTAATTTGAGATGGAGAGAGACCTTAGCTAGAAAGACACGTCATTACAGACTGTCCTGCTTCCAGAAGTCTTTTGCCACATTTCATGGAACTTGTGTTAGTGTAATTTCCCCATTTCTCCTGTTTATACAGGCAAACAAGATAAGATCCAGGCTCAAAACCTTGTTTGCAGAGTAAAATTGACCATTAATGAATATTGCACGTTATAGTCCATCATTTTTCTGAAGGCATGAGCTTCTGTCAGAGCTATGTAACTGGCATCCAAGCTTCTCAATGCCCCAGCTTGTTCCAAAAAAATCAGCCAAGACTTTCTTTTTACTCAGATGGATCAGAAATGTAACTACTCTGATGGGCTACACATGAGCCGATTCACTGCTAAGGGCAGCATCCAAGTGAACATCAATAAAAGAAGCAGGCAATCTGCTCAAACCTGTGAACTGAAGGCTTGTCTCCTTGACACAATGCTGATGAGCCATTTCTTCTTGATGCCTGAGGCATGTGACAAGCCACAGATAAGCTTTAAGTGCTGTGTGCAAAGTAGTCAATAAATTGCCATCAGACTTTCCCTTCTGTTTAACTTTTATTAAAAGAGGTGCTAAGGTCCCGTACTGTATGCAGTACATCATATTTATTACCAAAATTAACAAATATACAAAACTTATACATGTAATTTTCTTACATCCATTTATTGGTCTATAATACTGCATTTGTTCAAGTAGGTTATCTACAGTATGTAAACATCCCTTGGATTGACCTCACACAGATTAGGAAAGCCCATCTAACCCATGTAGTTACCAAATATAGCTTTCTCTTTTTTTACCTTTTTCTTTTTTTTTATTTAATTTATTTGGCTTTCATTGGTAGAATCTAATCTTCACATTTGGCACGTGGAAGAGACATCTACAGTGCAAAAGAGGCAGATTTTCTGGTTTTGCTCTGAGCAGTTTAGCAGTGTAATGGTTTTAAAGAGTCAAGAGGAGAATAAATTTACACAAACTTGATAGGAGATGGATTAGTATTAACGTCAATGACTCATAGATCAGCCATTAAACTAGAGCAGAAATTCAAAGCCTCTTACCCAGCCCTCTCAGCCAGGTGAAAAAAAAATCTCAGCCTTGTTTCTAAAGGTTTAAAAAAAGGACTCTGATAGCAACAGAGAGAGGAGGTTTTAGTTTACAAAGAGACCTCAGAGATCCCTGTTTCAATTTTCTGCTCTGTGTTTTTTTTTTCTCTTGTTAGCAAGCATTTCTTTCTTTTTTTTTCTTTTTCATTTTTTTCTTTTTTTTTTCTTTTCTTTTTTTTTTTTTTCCTCCTTCTTCTTTATTTCCCCTCCTTTTTGATGGGGGGGAAATAACCAGTGGGGTTATTTTCTTTTCTGTGCTGACAATTTCTCAGTGAGCTGGAGATTACAATTGGAGTTTACAGGTCTTTGAACCCATATGTATAGAGCTCAGTAAGCTGCCATATGTAGGAGAGGGAAAGGGGAGGGAGGGAGAAGAAAAGTAACGTCATTATATTCTAGGAGTGGAACTTTCCATTTTTTTCTGTAAAAAAGCAGGAAAAGCTTTCTTCCTTCTGCTTCTCATTGTTTCAAAACATGACTTAATTTAACTGAGTAAAGCTGATCCAGAGAGACCTTCATTCACACCCTTCTTCCCATTCTCATTCAAGCACCGTATTGCTATTTTAGGAGGCCTCACCCATGTCCATGGAAGCATCTGATGAGAATGGACCTAATCGGACACCATTTCGCATGGAAATCCCTCTGCAATTCCTCGCCCATTACCACAGAGCCCCGCTGCTGTCCGTGGCACCGTACATCTCGGCCAGCTTTTTGAAGCGTGGCCCCCAGTCCGTCAGGTAGTCGTAGCTCTGGTCTGAGTCTGTCGTCACCGACTGTAGGGAGCTGAGTGACTCTGCCACTGAACCGTTCCCTTCAAACATGTACGTCTGGAGGGAGTCGAAGGGAGGAGCCCAGAGGTCCATGTCAGCCTCATACAGCTTGGCGAGCACGTAGTTATGGACGTTGTTGTCCATGACGCACGCCTGAGGCACGTATCTGGAGAGGCTCTCTATTTCAGGGAGCATGTCCTGCCTGTTTTTTAACACGAGCTGGGCTTCCCGTGGATTCCACATGGCGGCGATATCGAAGGCCTCCGTGTCCTCCTCCCCACCGCCTTCATCGTCATACCTGACGATGTTCTCATGGATGTTCTCCTCCTCGTCGATGATGTATGGCTGCTTCCGCTGGCGCCGCATGGAGAGGATGAGGAGCACCAGCACTGCGGGAGGCAACCAAGACACAGGACCATCAGTAAGAGGGCAGATCTTGCAGGGGCTTTAATGTGTGTTGAATGCGTGTGTATGTTGAAGTAATACCTCATGAACCAAGAGCCCAAACAAGGGAATCAAAGTGCTTTTGACACCAGCAGCTAACAGGGTAAATAGAAGGTCTGGACAAGGAAAGGAAATACGTTTGTGGAGAGCACAGGCAAGATGCCCAACTTTCAGTACTTCCTTCTGACACACCCTTTCCTAGAAAGCAACCCCCTAGCCAGAAGAGAAGAGCTTGTCCCCTCCCAGCAAGCAGCCAAGGCTTTACCTAGCAGGACAAAGATGCAGGCGAGGATTGCAATGAGTGCCCCTCTGCTCAGGCTGACGGGAAGGACGTAGGCCTCGGCGTTGCAGGACATCACCATGCCGTCATCGTCGCAGCTGCACACGTGTATGGTCAGCGTGCCCGTGCTGCTCAGCACGGGGCGGCCGTTGTCGCTGATCAGGATGGGGAGGTAAAAGGTGTTCTGCTCGTGCTGTCTGAAGCCAGAGCGCCTTGTCAAAATCCACGCCGTGTTGTCTAGGGGCGGACAACAAACAGAGAGAAGAACTTACACACAGAGCAAATACGTTCAGAAGAAAAGGAAGGTTAAAAAAAAATCACTGCTAAGCCCACATCCCTTTGTCTTCCCTCCAATTTTTTTTTATTGTTTTTAATCAGTTTGTCACCATTCATCATTTTGCCTCTGCATCCCTTATTCCAGTATCTTCCCAGGCCACGGCTCAAAACCTCCAAGGCATACACACCTTACGAGCTGTTTTTACCCTTTCTGACATGAAGTGCCCAGAGCAAAGTCACAGCCTTCAGATTTAGCTAGAAGAGCTTTCAAAAGGCAGGACAGAAATGAACAGTTGAGGGCAACTTGTTGTCCCCGTTTGTTCTTGCTCAGCAGCTTTTCTAGACATTGCTCTTAAGAGCTGCCAGCACTTTGGGGATGCTGGTGTATAACCCTTGTGGACATGTTAAGGTTGTCTTTATGTTTTTTGATACGTGGCATGGCCATCTGCTTGAGGCAATAAGAAGACAAAGGGAAAAAAATACAGCTTGCTATTTGAAAGAGCAGTGAGTTGAAAATTTTGCAGCTAAACATTTTTTCAATGAAATACATGCAATTTCATTGACACTGTTGCCATTGAAAAAAGTCAGACTACTTTGTTTTCATTGCCAGAATTACTCTGTTTTGATTGACCATTCTGCTTCATTTAGTGTGGCTACCACCTGTCTTCTAGAAGAACTTGAAACAAAATGAATTAAAATGATGCTGTGGAAACAAAAGAGTAAGAGAATGACCAAACTGCAAATTGCTTTTAATTTTCATTTCAAGGGTAATTCCTACTTCTAAGGCTTTTCCTCCATATTCATCATGTTTTTTTCTTTAAAAGTCAACATCTCCCAATGGCTTTTGAATTTCTTTCTCTACTCTCTCCCTCAGATTCCTCAAGCTGTGCACCGAGTATTCTAACTAGAAAGAAAATGGATCCAGGAATCTGTCCTTCTCAAGTCTTATCTCAGAAATACCACAGCAAACCCTTTGAGGTCTGTGATGATTTTGCCTGTGCTGACTTTCAAATTTTATGGTCTCAGAGACTTCTGGAAAGTTCAAGGCTGAATGTCTCCAATGTGATCTGGGCCACCAGGTTATGTAAAGGAAGCTGTGGAAAATTGGCCCTTTGTACAAACATGTATACTAATCTTGGGCCAGCTAAGACAGGGAACAAAGGTACTTCCACTTTTGGCAGACCTACAGCCATGGTTCATCAGATTAGTTTAAATTGTGACCTGTTTTTAAAAGCAATCTCATGATCTTTTATTTCTTACACTTCAATGAGATTTCAAGCTTTCACTCTGAAAGTGTAAAATACTGAAGTGTGCACATGTCTCTGTGAATATGTAATGAAATTGTATTGTCTCATTAAATCATGTCATCCCAAGAGCTGGGGCTTTGAGAAGAACCACCAAGTAGCACCAGATGCAGGATGAAATCCCCAAAGTTGCTTCAAACTGGTAATGTGTCAGCGTTTGCTGATTTTACCACTTTTTAATACACTGTGCAGCTCTGAACATTGTGCAGCTGGTGTGTACAGACATAGACAGACGCATTTCCACCGATGTGTGCCAAGATGCAGTGGTGATCAGCACCCTGCGGCTGCCAAGGCTCATGGGCAAGGGGTGTGTGTTCTCCTGCAAGCCTCCCTCTCCTCCCTCTTGGGGCACACACACGTGGTTTCTCACCCTCAGGCTGTTTTATGTGCCCTCTAGTAAATGCTTCCCAGGATTAAAAACACATCTTTTCATCACTGAGCCTGATATAGCATGAGAAAAGCAGCCCAAAGGGCAGAAAATGGCAAAGTGTCTGGATTTATGCTGTGTCAGTGGAAATGTCCGAGTCATCTTAACATTGTAGTAGTTTGGTTGCATTTCTCTTTCCTGGGCGAAAGACTCACTCTCTTTAAACTGGCTTATAATAGAAGGCACAAATTCCATTCAGGTGACAGCAAACTTTCATTTTATGCGAAATTGCTCTTTGTGAAGGAAAAAGACTTCATTATTCTGAGCTGGTCGTACTTTGCCTGTAGAAAAAATCACAGGCAGTGAGTGTGACTGAAGCTGTACAAAATCAGTTAGTGAGAGATCTCAAATTTTTTAAGCATGTCTTTTTTTTTTTTTTTTTTTTTTTCTCCAGGCTGAGAAACAAGTCTTCATAATCAAATATTGACGGAGATATATATATGTGTATGTGTGTTATATATATATATATACATATTTTTGCAGTGATGTGTTGCCCGTATCATCTAGGTCTTAAATATTCTTGGCTATGTAATTCCCTTGGTGACTTTCAGCATAATGTTTCATCCCTTTTGCTTTGTTTTGCTTTGTACTAGGCAGGCATCCAAATCATCCCTAAGGAATCACTCTACCTGTTACTCCACAACTGCAGTGTGTTTTTGCCAAAGCTTGTTGTGTGACTCATCAAAAGCCAATGTGATTTGATGTGCTGCTGCAGTGCAAAGGACATGCTGGAATGGGATGCAGCACGGTAGAAACTGGAATACGCAATTTTCTTCCAAATTTGATATCTGTTAAGCCCCAGCCATCAGCAAAATAGGGCTTGTGAGGACATGAAAGCCTCATTATATTAAAATAAAGCATGATAAGAATGCACAGTATTTTTGCATCACAGCTTCCAGTTACAGCATCTTTGTCTTGCAGAGGTCTGGATGGTAGCACTTAGCTACGGCGCTGAGCAGAGACAGTGAAGAGCATGGTGTGGTGGGTCCCCATGCCCCTGAGATCACCTTGAGCATGAAAACCATACTTCTTCCAGGCATGCAAGTTGGTGTGCTTGTGACAGCAAGCCTTGGAGCATCTCCTTCCTGCCATTTTCTGGAAGCAATTTACCTCCTTGGAGAGGTCAGGGGTAAATAATCACTGTGTAGGTCCGAACACCAAGATCAGAGCTAAGCTCCTCTCACAAGAAAGACTTGTTTTTAATCTCTGCATGAGTCTGTACAGTGACAGAGGACGGTTAGCCTAAAAGTCCTTTTAGTTTTTAAAACTAATTGCAATAATTAGGAATGGTTATTAATAATACGATGAAATATTTCACCAGGAGGTAGACCTCAGGGTCTACCTGAAGGGTAGGAAGAAGAAGGGTAGGGAAGGAAGAAATAGCTATCAATTTTTCTAGGACAAATTTAAATGCAATGGGGAAGACTGCTAGAGGCTTCCATTGACAGTCCTGATGGTGGTACGACCCTGATGCCTGCATCCATCAACATGGCTACTACCTTCATTAATTCCTGTTACCCAAAAATGGAGGAGAGCAGGTAAGGGTCAAGAGGAGATCAGCTCAGAGTTTAATCTGGAAGTGCGGTAAGCCTATTTCATTGCTCATCTCATTCTTACAGCAAGTCTCTTTTGCCAGCTGCTTCCCAGAATAATCTCACATGGCTTTACAAGCAGGACGAAGACAGATCACTGATGCCCTCGGTCAGTAACCAAAGGGACAGGAGACCCCAACTCAATTCCCTGCTTCATCACATATACTCTGTATGTCCTTGAGAAGTCATTCAGGCCCAGATCTTTGCAGATCATTACATGTCTATTGCCTGCTGATTTTACTGAACTGAAAGGGAACCAAGCATGTAAGCAGATTAATTTCTCCTTGCCCCAGATCCCCGTCTACGAAGTGGAGACAATAGGATTTCTCTGTCTGCCAGAGATATGGGGAGAATGAATAGCCTAAAGTAGTTCTTAGAGACTATAAATGACAAGGGCCAAAGAAATATGTAAAACAGCTCATCAGAATGCAAACCATGATCTATCTGTTGCTTGGTGTAAATCAAGGTTTTAATTGTTGCCAGGAAGGCTGCATGTCTTGCAGTTTTTCTTACCACTGTATGGGACGACCAAGTAATCAGCACAATTGCTAATCTTCACAGTGTGTTCCTACAGCCTGGGAAGTACTGCTGTCTCATGGTTAGATGCACAGGCTGTGAGGAACAAGGTGGGTTCTGTTCCTTGTCTTGCCACCCTGTGACATGCAGTATATCTAAATCCCTCTGAATGTCATATAATTTATATACTACTTAAGGGTCCCTAGATGAAAATAGAAATATAAATTATTGTTACTGAAGTGACTACTGCACTCCAAATTGCTGAGGCAATAAATTAACCCTTAATATGTATAGTCAAATAGTCAGTGATTTGATACTTCACGTTTTTATTTCAGATTTGTAACCAACAGTACTCTAAGCTTCTTGTGATATATATTTCTGGAAAACTGGTATTTTAGAGAAAGCAGGAGGCACAGCCATTCAGTCATTGCTGTCACTATAAATTACAGCAAGTATGGCCTTAGACAGAAAAAGTGCATCTGATGCTGGGAATTTTGCGAGTTTCCTTTTTTAGAACAATGCCCTCAGGATGAAATGAGCCTAGTTTGCCAAATGTTTTAGCAGTGGTTGTGTTCTATTTGCTTATTTATTTTGGCAATATATGTTCAAAAATAAAAGAGAGGGAGACAATGAGAGAGTGAAGGATAAAGATGCAAGAAGCGGTGCGGGGAGACTTCAGGGACCTTACAGAAAAAAATGCGTTTGGGATGAAAAATCATTAATATGCTGTGGAGGAGGGCTCCAGGGCTCTGCAAGCAGCATCTTTTAAGATGTGTTTAGTTAGTGAAGGCAGGGGCTTGTTTATTGGCCTATATGTTGCTCTTTCATATGCCTGCAGAGGCACAGATGGGAGCTTATGGAAATAAGTACGACAAGTAGGCATGTGTGCTTATGTGGGAGTAGGATCAGCACTCTGCCTGGAGACTGGTCACGGATGCTGCAGGTGCCTTTCCCCCCATTTATAACAGAATTGCTTGCTGATTTGTGGTGCTTTGCATACTAAGCTCCTACTGACATTCAGCCCCTTCATACCGACATTCAGTGCACCAGTTCGCTTGAGGCCATCCCTCTTCCCTGCTGAAGGCTGATGTGGACTTGACCTTGGCACTGTTATTTGCCCACAGAGGTCCTCTATCAGCAACAGTGATGTGAAGGCATGCTCACAGCAGGCTTTTCCTGCAGGCTCCAAAGCAACAAAAACTTCCCCAAAAGAAGCAAATTCCACTGGTGTGGATATGCAAATGCCAGTGTTTGGCCATGAGTCCCCCTCACTGGTATTTCAGTTTCTGCTTAACCCATCTCCTGTTGATGTTTAGCTGTAGTGCACGTCACCCCCTAAGGCTCTGCATCTTCTCCCTACCTCCCTCTCTTTCCCAGGCACTCAATGAGGATGTGCAAAGAGGAAGAAAAAAAGTGCTTGGGGAAAAAGATTGGAACAATACGAGAACCTTCCCTTTCAGTGCCTGGAAGAAAACATGAAGAGTACAAAAAAGAGCAATGTAATTTCCTTCAGATTTGTCTCCCTGTTCCAGTTTCTAGCCTACCTTTAAGCATCTCCTTTTGAATGAATGCAATTTCCACTCTGGTAATCTGAGATGCCTGCAGCCTGACCACAAGATCTGAATTTGCACAAAACACTGGCACATTTCCTTGGAGAAGAAAAAGGGGCCTATTGCTAGAGAATATTTATAGAGAAGGAAATATCATATAACCTTCAAGTGTATTAAGTAATATGTCATTTTATCTCTGCCTTTAAGGAGCAGGTGTCACTTGGTATTATTTGAAATGGCAGTCTTATCAAACACTGTAAGTCACAGCCTCTCAAGTCCAACTCAGACATTAGAAATTAGAGTAGCTAACTGCCCATGTCCACTCTGATTACCTTGATTGTCCCTCAGAGTAAAGTTGGGGTTGTTGGCTGCCTCCGGAGCCAGGCTGTAGTAGAAGTGCTGACCATCCTGTGGGTCATCCCGGTCGATGGCACTCACTGTCTGGATCAGCTACAGAATACGAGAGCAAAGCAGAAGCAGGTGAGAAGCAAGATGTATGTAATCTAAACAAGCAAATAAGTTCATGTGTATATTTATATATGTAAATATAAGCAACTTGGAGCATTTGAATAAAACTTTCTTGCAGAGGCACAGCAGATGAATCAAGAAGAGACTCAAAACCTCACAGGCTTCATTTTATTTTACTGTGATCATGCAAATCACTTTTAAACAAAGGAGGAGACAGTCAGTTTTGTTCAAATAACAGACACTTTTCTCCCTTGTGTCCCTATCTTCTGTTACACATTTTTCTCTTCTTTTGAGGCTCCAGGGTGTTCAGGAAATACATCATGTATTAGGGAGCTTGTAAGAAAGCCCATGCTTATATTCAGCTTCATTTTACAGGTAAAAAAGGATGCAAGGTTGATTTTTATCACTCTCAATTTTAAATCTATTAAGCTCTTCCCAAGAAGTCAGCGGAAAACAAAGAAAATTCAATGAAAACAGAGAAAATGCAACTATGCAGATGCTTTGCTTGTGCAACGAGTAACACTAAGGAGAGAAACTAAGAAAATACTAAATCTAGGAAGAGTTTTGTCACCTCACTTATGGAGGCTTGATGAAGTAGGTATAACAGATTGAAGCATGGTGAGCTGTAGCTCTGTCTCAATAAAAATTTTAACATCTTTTCGAACAAAGAACAGGTCTTCACCTGGATTTTTGCATTCCAAGCTATTTTTGGATTCAGAGACAAATGACAGACACGTAATGTCTTATTTAGCGCATCAGAACCGATTTCAGAACTTCTTGAAATGACGCAGAAGTCCCACTTAGTGTGCTTTCAAAATACGGAAGAAGGCTGGGCAATAATTTCTATTCCCTGTATTATTAAGGGCATCTTTAAGTTAGTAGAATGAAATTATCCTGTGTAAGATTTTTAGTAGGACAGCTGTCCCAGCAGTGAATAACTATTTCGTTCTGCTTCAGAGCAAGCTGGGAGGAGCTCCGCTGCACGAGCAGTGATATTGCTAGTATATTTTTTCTCTTCATAAATCATCAGTTGTGTATCTGTGCACTTAAACTGTGTTTATCAGATGTGAATTTGGAGATACAGGTCCCTGCTGTGGACCCTGGGTGGCGAAGCAGCAGGTTGCATCCACACCAAGCTATAAGCAGTAGAAATTGTACCACCACTGTACTACCAGGGAGAGCTCCTCTCCATGTGTGATAGGGGCAGACCTTGTTCAAGGGCTTTGATGGGGTTTTAGAAGGGGTAGGAGCAAAGAGGTGTCACAGTTTGCTTGAAGGTACGGGTTTACAGTGTGCAGAGCTGGAAGTCCTGTGTTATCTATGATTCTCTGTAATCTCCAGTTCACAGCAGAACAGATTCAGTTTGTCACCCCTTTGAAGCTGATGTAGTATATTATGTTCAGCTTCCATAAGTCAGGGTGCTTAAGGCTCTTATAAATAGGGCCTTTTAAAAGGAAGCCTTGTCACTCACACACGGGCCGGGCTGACTCCGTGGCATTTCTTACAACACTTGTCCTCTCTTTGTTGCTGCCACAGGACACACCGTCCGTTTGCCTGCTGGCACTTGCCCAAGGGAAGGCTTTATTTCAACAGTGAAGTGTATGGTGGAGTGAGTTTGGAAACTACCGAGGGTGAAAAAGTGGTGCTTTATATGATGCTCATGGTGATGTAATGTGCTTGCCCTTGGAAAGCAGCACACGTAACGGCTGAAGAGAGCTCAGGTGCACCATTTGGTTAGCTGTGCCCTGTTTTCCATGCCTAGCCTGTTTGTTGTGCTTTCTCCATGCGGGCCAACCTTGCCCCCTGCCAGCCCCCGTCATTACCAGCATTTCTCACCTGTCCTGCTTTGGCGTTTTCGCAAACGAAAGATTCGTAGAACCTTGCAAACTCCGGCGCATTGTCATTCACGTCCAGGACTTTCACCGTCACGGAGACACTGCCCACCTGCGAGGGATTGTCTGGAAGGAGGAGGGAGAACGTAAAGAAAGTCAACTTGTGGCAAGGGAAAAAAAAATGGCTCCCTGCTCTGCAGAAGAGTTAAATCAATGCTTTTTGCTACTGATCTGTGTTAAATTATTTTTTTCTAAGAGGAACTGCGTTTGCTTGCAGGTTATGTGACTCAGAGTGAAGTTGCAAATGCTGCTTTATCTATCTTGGCTTTCTATCTGGTCACATCAGTTTCAAACAAGTTCCTTTGGATGCAAAAGGACCTTCAACCTGGTCCAGTCAAATGGGACTATTTCTGTAACAAAAGTTTTAGACAATGCCCCGCAGTTAGAGCTTCGACTGGGAAATACTGTTTGTTGAGCCTCGGTATTGGCAGCATGAGTTATGTCGAGACTATTTTTAGGGATAGTCTTGTTATTTAGAGCTTGTCGGAAATGGTAATTCTGCATTTCAAGTATCTTTTTTTTTGCTCAGAACTTATATTCCTGAACACAAAAATATTGTGTCAAGTTTTTGATACTTTGTACAGGGGGTTAAAATGCAATACCACATGAAATTGTACAGAAAAGCTTTCAATGAAGCTTAAAATCACAATGAAAATTTTACATTCTGCATGACATCATTTGTGATGTTTCTGTCCCGCTGGTTCATTAGCTCTCTTGCCCAGTACATCCAGACATCATTTCATATATCTTTACAATTTCCAAACTCAGTAACCAAAGAATATATTTTTTTTACTTTTTTTTTTCCTCCCAGAACAACCTTTTTCCCATATTAAAAGATAAAATGAAACTCTAAGAAGAGATTTAAAAAAAAAAAAAAATCATTATTAGGAGGTAAGGAGCAAAAATCAAGAACATTCTTAAGAGTTAGGCTTGTCTTAGCTATCCAGCCTCATGCATTTATTTCCAAATATATCTCACTTTCTGGCATGAAATGATGTGTTCGTATAAACAATAGATAATTTTCTTACACTCAGGAATTTTCTTAAAGGTTCCATGTACTGAATCCATAATGTGTGTCACATTTTATCGAGATAATAATCTTAAACTATATTGTTTCTCCCTGATTTATAATTTAGTCCCTCAGCTTCCCACATATCCATACATATCTTACTAACACACCTGTCATTGTGGCATATGAATGTCTGCATTCACACTCAGTAAAATTCATCTAACTCCTGGAACTAGAAGCTGTATTCAGGAGCGCACAACTATGGCATTTTCAAAACTATTTTCTAAATTAAAATATTGTGCTGCACATGTACAAAATTGACAAGAGGATGGGCAGAGGATGAGCCAAAGGAAGCCATGCCTTCATATTGCTCTCACCCTGGTGTGCTGCTACAGGGCTGCTTCTGCAGACTCGTGCGTGTAAGTGGATCTACACGGAATTGCAATGACCATCGGTGGCTGAAAATAAAACTAGCATTGAAACAGATGGGGTGAGATCCCATCACGTCACCAGCCCCTCTCGCTACTAAAAAGGTGACAGGAAGGCTTTGCATGCTGGAACAGCCTACAAATATATGGCAGATTCACCCTGACTCTTGTGAAATATTCCCCTTGCTAACTTCAGATTGGTTGACTGTGTTTTGGATACGCTTCTCAATTTTTTCCCCCTCTCAGACTGCCCCATATCTCTGGTACAGCCTGGATGTATAGGAAGTGCTCTCAGACATGAGGAACAGCTCAGCTATTGCCAGCAAGCTTCCAAAAATCTGCTGCCCCTCAGCAAATGAACTGAAATCCTGAGCAAAAGCTATGTGGAACAAAGAGATCTCGGGTGAAATTTGGATGAATGTTTTATTTTATTTGCTCATATATCCTTAGCTCCTTTATGAAACTCAGCAAAATTTTTCATAGTGTCACTACATAATGATCAGCATCTCCTTGTTCTCATAGCCTTGGTAAATACCTGGCACAAATTAATCCTGAGCTGCGTTTTAGCTCACTGTGAAACCTGAAAATCTAATAAGTTTCATTTGCTCTGGGGTTTTCATACAAGAGGATCCCAAAGCACCCTCTCCGAATCATTCATGCAGTGAGCAGATGGCGATGCCACTCACTTGCTACTGGCCCAGAGCAGATTTCCACCAGCAACCTAGCAGTGAAAGCATCGTTGCTGCCTGCCAGTCCCTGCACCACGCAGTCCTCCCAGGTAGACTGGCAGCTGCACAGCCTTTGCAGCTTCTGCTTTTGCTGCCTAGTCCTTCTGGAGAAACAGAGCTCTTGCAGAAACATATTTCACAAAGAGTTTTACATAAATCCCTAGAATACTAATGACAAGAGAAAGCAGCACTCGGCATTTAATTGCCAGCCTCTGTTCCTCCCACCACTCTGTGAAAAGGAGCGTAAAAAATAAATAAAATGCAGCATTTGCTTGTTGATGTCAGAAGAGTAATTCAGTTAATACAGCTTCCCACTCGATACATAAGAACATCTGAATTGCTGAATTCAGGTCTCTCAGCCTGCTTTGTCTATTATATCTCTTTAATCTATGTACAGCCTGCATTCTCCTTACTCAGCTCCATGGCCAGCACTGTGATGTTGTGCCAAGAAACATCCTCCCGATCTAGAGGTCTCGCAGTCATCAGTGCTCCCGATGTAATGTCGACATAAAAGAACCGCCCCGGATCGCTGCTCCTGTCAATCGAGTATCTGCAAGAGTACAGATTGAAAATATTTTGCAACTCTGGTTAAAACCGAATGTTACGTACACCAAAGTGCCCCAGCAATGGGAATTCTGTCGCATGTAGCAGATCCCCATTCTTCCACAACCTAGCTGTGTGCTCCGTTGACTTCTGTAGGTACAGTGAGACGCATGAAAAACTTGTAGTTCACACGTCTAATGGAATTTAACAGCGAGCACTGCTGGGATGGAGCTGGAAGACAGGGAGATTTAATGCAAGCAGCCCCAAAGCGAGGCACAGCTCAGCACAGGAACATCTGCTTTACAGAGAAAATGTGTCAGCGAGGAGTGCAAGTTCTTTTTCTAAGCTCAGTAATTATACCCTTTCCCTGGGCACAATTCAGACTGTATGAAAATGACTTTACACCAGCTCCTTCTCTGGGCACTCAGGCTGATGAGGAGGAACCGTTCCCTTCCTTGTGCTTTTGCACTCTCTCTCCCTTCAGGAGAACGAACTCCACATGCATCCTGAGCCATCCTACTGACTGAGCCACGGCCGTGCAAGGGGGATGATGTCTGGCTTTCTTCTATCAAGCAAGAAAAATGGGTCCCTCTGTGAGGTTGGTTCATCATAATTACTGAGCCTTCCTGGCCAGAAAGCTTCATCAGGCAGCTGACTGACAGCTGTCACGATAGGGATGGCTGGAGGTGAGTAAAGCAGCTCTCAGGGCTCCTCCTTGCTTCAGCCCTGTGCCCCCTCCACAATCTAAGCCAGGGCTGATGCAGCTGGTACGTTGGTACCTTCCTGTTTTTCCTGCCTAATCTCTAACAGATTTCTGATTTCAGTGGTAATGGCCAGCAGAAATGAGTTGCACTCGCCCTGTACGTGCCGTGTTTGCCATTCAGCCGCACGGACGTATTCCTTGTGTTTGATATGCCAGAAGTGCTCTTAGGTTTTCTATCAATCTGCAAGTTGCACAAATCATGTTCTGTCAGCTTCTCCTTCAGCAGATGGCAGGACTGGTGGCAAATACATTTTTGCGGGGTGTGTAAAATACTCAGTACCCTTCAAATGCTCTTAACAGCAGTTTGTACAAGTCGCCTTCCCAGCTAATTATGTTAGCATGGTAAGAGATCCTCTGGCAAAAACCACCCATGCGCTTATGCAAATGCCACAGCCTAGAACAGAGCCCAGACTTATTCTCTCTCCTTTTTTTTTTTTTTTTTTTTTTTTGTTCTTTCTTCAAAGTTGATGGGAATTGAAAGCATTAGTCATAACAGATGCTGAATAGGGCTTGTTGTTCTGAATTTTCTCCTTTCAGCATAAGCGCATTCACTGGAACGAGCATGCCAGCCCGTTCTTTATATAGGGACATATTAAATTGGGATATAAAGTGCTGTTAGGCTACGCTGTTGTGAAACAAACAGCATTCTTTTCCACTTTTTTCAGAAAAATGAAAGAGGGTGGAGAGGCAGGTTTCCTTCCCTTCCCCTCCCAATCCTTTGCATTCCAAATAATGAGATTTCTGAGGCACTTGATTTATTTAGGAAATAAGTATGAATGTTGCTATATTTTGCTATAATAATTATTCTTGTATGAAGGCTATAAAAAGAATTTCTCTCTGACGGTTTAAGGCCAACGAGTATCTGAAATTTAATACGGCCTTCTGATTAGTGGTGCAGTATTAATCACCAGTGTCAAGAGGCACAGGTGGAGTCTTTGTCTGGGTTCTCCACACACCTTCTCCTGATAATAAGACCTGCTCCTTCATACTTGCTTCCACTTTACTCTTCAGGTAATCTTCCCAAATCACTTGAAAACAATCCCGACGTAGAGGACCGAAGAGTTTCCCTGTGTTTGTTGAGCCCTCCTGAATTGTCACCTGACTTTTCCATAACTGAGAAGATGGCCTGGACCCCACCCAAAGGAAGGGTCAGATGTCAGTTTTAATTTCAGATGGATTCCATCTTGTGTAATAAAATGTGTTATCTGGTATTTTGTTCTTCTTATCTTGCTTTGATCTGTGCAAGGTGAATGCAGAGTAAGCCCAAAATGTTGCCAGACTGGTACTGCATGGGTTTGTATGCATGGAGAACACCACATTAGAGGTAAACACTCGGACAACAAACACTTAACATCTGCATTTTAGTTAGCATTACAAATGGTATTCAAAGGACATTTCTTCTTTTCTTCTTCCTCCTTTTTCCTTTATCCCAGTTTTTTATATGTACAATGTGGAAAGGAAGAAGGAGGGAAGAAAGGAAGGAAAGTGGGGTGGGAGGAAGATGGGAAGAAAAGAAGGAAAGAAGGTGTGAAGGAACAGTTACAGAGGAATCTCTGAAATTTGTATATATATATATTTTAATATATCTTTGGTAATGTGTTCTGTGCTTTTTCGAGTACTGTTTCATCATGGGAAGTCACTGGAAAGCTCTGAAGAAAACTAAGGAAAAAACTCATTAAATATAACAATGAACACTTCTACCCTCTGATAACAGCACAGAATTATTTTTATACTATTTTGAGCAGATTTACACAATTCTGTTTGTGCTGCAGTATTTGGATAAAGCTAGACAATCAGCAAAATAAGATGTGGGCAGTAAAAAGTTTAAGGTAATGAAATTGTGATGCACACGGTGTGATGCCTTAGTTTTATTGAAGAATTTGAGACATCATGAGAAGTAAGATAACTTCATAATGTAGGTAGAAAAGACAGGTATATTAAAGTAGCAGAGATGAAAAAATTAATTAGAGCAGTAACACAGAAAGCAATATCATTAAGGAAAAAAAGGCTTTGTGCCTGGTTAGATCTCACAGCTGAAGCCCACAGAGTTGCTCGTACAGATTTCACTTCCTTTGAAAACTCCAAATGCTTGGTGTTTTGACTCTCTCTGGTATTTCCCAGTGGTTGTCCTGAACGCAGAGCACTCAGAAGCTGGACTGACACCAGTTAAAGCACACAGCAGCTCAGCATCCAAAGCATTTCTCAGATGAGAGGTGCAGCTGAACTGCTGGGATTATTAACTCGCAGACACCTGGAGCTTCTGCAGGTTATGGAAATCAGTATGTGAGCTGGGCTCAGAAAAACCTTGATAAACTGGGCTGATTTGGCCACCACTATAGAAAAGAGCACTGCAATTGCACAGATCTGCCCCTATGGCTCCTTGCTGAGTTGCAGCTCTGCAGCTTCCACGGCTATAAATACACCTTTTACCTTTCGTAACTCCTTATGGGGTTATCTAGCTCTACAGAATTGACCAGACACTATATAATTCAGTGGCTCATGCATATTTATCAGCATGCATTCAAACTACTCCAAATGTAGCTGTGCTTTTCAGCTGTTGACAAAGACAGGTTGCACATAGCAATGGCTTTGAAACAGAAGGGGGAGAGACGAGAGGCAAGCTCATTACCTTCCCCTCAGTACTACAGCAGATTCTCAGCAATGCTGTCAGGTTTTGTGTTCAGGTTGTGCCAGCAAAGGTCTGGGCTTTGTTTTTTCGTGTACCCTGTCAGGGCCTGTCTGCATTGCTAGGTGCAGATGTCCTCCAGACCACAGAAAACAGAAAGGTGAACTCCTGCTTTGCTTCGCCAGTTGCAACAAGGCCCCTCATTGTATGAGATCTGGTTTGATTAAAACAACTGATAACTACAACAGGCTGGGAAAAGAGTCCCTCCCACCTGTCCTGTTTCAGCCCTGCCACCAGTTCATCAAATGGATGTACCAGGGAATGCTCTGGGGGGACACACAAGGAGAGGACAGACCTGATCGAGTTGTTGGTCACGTCTGGGTCCTTGGCAGAAATGATCTGTATGGTGGTTCCAATCTCCACGTCCTCAGGCACCTCCACAAAGTAAAAGCTGGGCTCGAACACAGGAGGCTCGTCCACATCCTCCACGCTGATGTGAACCGTGGTGGTGTCTCGGAAGGGACCCAGGTTCAGGAATCGCATTTCCAGGTGGGGGTTGGCACCCTCTACTTTCAACGTGTAGCTTTTCTTGCTCTCAAAGCTTAGAGGCTAAGGAGAAAAAATATATCTAGCATTAGGCACACTGGGCCATGTGATTTAGACAATATCTTTCTGATTTTCAGAAGTAAAAGATGCCCTCTAATATAAACTGATTCTTCTTTTTAAAAATAAGTCTACTCTGATTTTTAATCATAAGGGTAACAAAGATAAATACTTGCAGATGGAGACAAAGCACTAAGTGACAGTTGTATTGGCAGTGGCACTGCCTGCATCTTTTTCTTTCATTTTTAATTTGACAGTTGAACTGAAAAAGTCAGGAGAAATATTTGCAGATCTTTTTAAAATATGTGTTCTTTCATTCTCCTTGGTGAAATGAAAACAAAAGTGGCCACACCACCCTCGCGCTGTGATTCACAGTTCCATTCCTCTCTGGGGTTGAAACAAACAAACCAAAAACAGGCAGGAACAGGTATATTGGGAGCACCTGAACAGAAGGCAAAGATAGGAAGAGCCAGTTCCTCAGAAACAGGCCCTGGTGGCACTTATAGGGACCCTTGCATATGATGTGGAGGTCCCAGTTAGGTTCCCCTTCTCTCCCTGATGATATCTGAGTCTCATCGGCAGAGAGTCCTGGCTGCCAAGCTCCTAAATGGCTCTGGTGGCTGTAGGGGACAGGGCCAGTCTCTCTTGCAGGATCCTGCTCCAGTTTGCATCCATCCTTCCTAGAGGTGTTCTTTTCTTTCACTTCCTCAGTAAATGTCCTAAATGCAGGTTCCCAATCTAGGTGTGCTGGCTGCTAGAACTTGAATCTCCTCCCTGCCTAGGGCGGGCATAGTTTAATTTCAAAGCATTATAAGCTACCCCTGGCTTCTTCCTGGTGAAGCTCTTTCACTTTTCATTAAACACTCAAGTATTATTTGAAACAGGGAGCCAGAATGGCCCTTGTTCTTACTGAGATAATGGATAAAGAGAGATGAGCTTCCTCTGTTACTATTTTTTTAATGAATTTGATTTCCTTTCTAGATAAAACTACGTATTTGGGGAACATGGATATAGAAATAATTGATGCCAACACTGAAGATTTTAATAAATAAATCTTTCATTTTCTTCCTCTTTCCTTTTCGCAAATCCCTGAAGAAAACGGATCCTCACCAAACCCTGCTTAGACCTAAATGGAGATCTCCGTATTTTATGTGCATTTTACCAGTCCTAATGAGAGATGACTAAAAGCATCTGACAACCAGAATGACAGCAGGGAAGAGTCAGCCCAAAGCATACAAATATCTTTCACCAGATAACATAGACCTTCCAGAGGACACAGTTGTACTTTCCAAACTGCAGTTAGAAGTTACGAGCAAGCCCACTGTGGTTAAATGGTCACCATCCTTTGCTTCTCCACTCTCTGAGTTTTAATGCTGGAAGCCAGCACCACTGGACCCCCTTAACCGGCACAGCTCTTGAGCAAGAAAAGCTTTGTACCAGGAAAGAAACTGCCCAGTTCTCAGGTTTGTCCAGTGGGAGATTATATTTATTTTTGTTACATGGATGGCTTTCAAAATGTGTGCCCAGGAATGGGAACTGCTTTTCTTGTGCTGGGGCAGATGAAGACCCTGTATTACTGGAGATGCTGTGCAGCCATACAAGATGTGCTGTGCAACCTGTGGCAGCAGGCAAAAGCAGAGGATCTAAAACTTACTCCTGGTGCCCTCAGTTCCACCTGGTAAATCAGTGACTACTGCAGGCACAGCACCTGTCAGCAAGGATTTAACTAGATCTACAAATGTTTTACCCATTACTTCAGAGTCATTATGGTCTACCAACTGCATATTTAAGCATTGTTAAAATAGCAATAAAATATATTCACATGATCAAGCAACAGTTATTGTCCATCTGGTGGGGAGCATGTAATGCAAAGCTTCCTAAACATATAGTAAGAAAGAGGGCATTATATCTCCTGGTTTCTCATGTGAAGAAAAGTGTGAGAAACATTGCACGTATACTAAAAAGCTAAGTTGTATAAAGAGCAGTTAAATCACAGAAACACTTAAAGCTATAAAATCCAACTACATTAGGAAAAGAGTTAATTGCCTGGAGTGCTCGAGTTAGAAAAAAATGAAAAATCAAACGTGCTGGGCCACTACACGTCTGATGCTCCTGGGCTCAGACCAGCTCAGTTTGCATTGGACTCTTTCACTGTCAACTGCGGCTTAAACTTCTGAACCTTTTATGTGCCAGTGCCTCAACACAGCCACCCCCTCATCAGATTTCTCTTCTGTGGGTGTGTTCAAACCTTCCCCCAATGATGCTCCCATGGGGAGGGCAAGCAGGTTGTCTCCTGGGAACGTCAAAGCCGAGAGGAGAGGCACCTCACAGAAACATCTCCCTCTCCTCATCCACCATTCTCCAGCGCTGAGACAGGCACCAAGGGATGCACAGGTGGGATTTAGCTCTGTGAGAAAGCATTTCACTGGGCAGCAGCTGGTGAGGAGGGCAGCATGGGGCTCTGCCCTGGGTGCTGTGGTTGATGGTGGCTTGATAACCCACCTCTGCTCCCCAACAGTGTGAAGGTGAAGGCAGGGAGAAGGGAGAGGCTGTCGCTGCGGTGAGTAGCAGCCTCATGGATGGGGAGTTTTACAGGCACTGCAACTCCTCGAGAGGTGCTCAGTGTTGTGTGGGACTAGTTAGCTGAGATAAGTGCAGTTAAACAAGTGGTGGTCTTCTCTGTGAAGTGTGAATTCCAACTTTTTGATGTCCAGGATAAAAGCAGGATTAACATTAGTTATTTCTTTTGGGAAATCTGTCTAGAAAAATGAAAGGGAAAGTTTCTTTCAAAGAAGATTCCTTTCTGGCTTTAGAAATTCTCTCTACTCTCACTGTGATACCCTTTTCTAACAGTACCAATTGCACTTTTTTTTTTTTTTTTTAATTGTTGAGTATATCCAAAGGACAGCTTTTCCAGTGTTTGGCTACTGATAATCATACCATTACAGACAGCTGCAGGTATATACAGTATTTTACAAACATTTATGTACAGTAGATGGATTGAGCAGTACATATCCAGTAAGACTGATGCCATAAACATTTATAACTTCTCCTCATACAAATGGACATCTGGTAAAACTGTATTTGGAATAACCAAAGTCAAGCTTATCAACCTATGTACTCCAAATAAACTATTTTTCCCATCAATAAATAAATGAAAAATTACAGTAGATGTTTCATTCACCTTCTATTTCATTCCTGCAAAGCACTTAAGCACATTCTTAACTTTAGGGACCAGTGCACATAAACAAGAGTTGGAGAGAGGTGACCATAAATACATGCTTAAATGCTTTGCTGTAGGGCACGCAGACTTGCAGGGTCAAATCTATCCCATGTGTTGTTCCATTTCTGTGCACAATTTTGTCCCAGGCTATTTTAAGGGAGAATATATTTCCTTATTAGTACACTAGATACATTTAGGCAGAAATATGGTTACAATTTCATAACCTAGAAACCGAGTTGAACTTCTAGCATTTATGTAAGATTGTAGAATAAACATCCTATAGCAGGGAGTCTAGCAAAATAGTCTATTCCTTTCTGCATAGCCTGCGGTACAGAGCACTAGCAGTTTCACAGCTGCCATTTTAGAGACAGCTTCTTCTAGCCTAATTAGCATTTATGGATCTTCAAGCAGCAATTAAAAAAAAAACTGCCTGGGTTTTATTGGTTTATAAATAATTCTAAGGCATGCTTTATTATTGTTTGTGGGACACCAGAGTGAAAAATGTGTACAGTTCAAATGCAAATATTGATCTAATTTCTTGCATTGTAGGATAATTAAGCTACAGAGAATATTTAAATAGATAAATAGTGAATCAGAATATTCCTTTGGTGGGAGAAGACATGTTTATGCTGATGCTGTCCCCACTTCTTAAAGGCTGTGCCTAAGAATGCGGTCTGTTTTCATTTTTCAGCAATGATTATTAAAGAAACGGTGTTTTATGGCAGGAAAGGGGCTACTGTCATGTAATGGGAACCAAGTTACTACAGGCATAAGGGAATATTGCACACATAAAATGTAACCAAGACTGTTAGTCATATAAATTACTATAAAAATGAACTTTACTACCTTTCTCACAGTTATGATGCCAACTTGGTAATTAGGATCAGTGTTAATATCGAAGACATCCAGTCCATCTCCATCCACAAGGCTGTATTTCATCTCTGCATTAATGCCTTCATCCAGGTCTTTAGCAACCACGCGGCCCACGGTGGAGCTGACGGGAGCAGACTCCAGCACGCTCATCTGATAATGCTCTGGCACAAGCAGCAGAGAGAGACAGGGGAAAGAAAAGCAAGTTGTGAAAAGGAACTGAAAGCTGCACAGCGGTTCAAAGAGTAGATCGGGGCAGGCCACGATACCGCCTAGTCTGCCAGGAACCTCTCCCACCTTTCTTGGAGCTGAAACAGCAGTGTGATATTCTTGAAAAAGCCACAGCCAGACGAAATTGCTAGGGAACATTTTATTTAGGTGTTTTGTCATATCAACAGGTTTATTCAAAGGGTCCTTTTCAAAACAGCAGTATACCTAAAAATGGGAACTCGAGCTAAAAAAATAGGGCAATTAACACCAGTGCAGTTGCAGCTATGATACATAGCAGGGTATGAAAAAAAAAAATTAATAGGACAGGCATCTTTTATTAGATCAGCTTGTACAACTGGAATAAACACAAACGTTCTGAGAACCACAAATGTTTCCTCAGGTCTGTCCAAACTTCTTTTTCAGCCTTGTACAATGCTTTGAGAGCTCAGAAGCTTGCCTGCTTTTTTCCAAATTTAACAGTGACTCTATTAAAATGTACTATGTCTCCCTACAAACCTTGTCTTGAGCACATTTGGTGCATCACTAATTTGCTTAGCAGCAAGCCTGGGGAAAGAAAGAACGGCTATTTTAAAAATATGCTTTTTAAAAATATAAATGCCGTATCTAAAATACTTTCCTGCCATCATACTTTATGTCCAAACCTTCCTTGCTACACTCTGCCCAATTATTGAGTTTTACAAGGCAGAGTTATACCAAGGATAGTGTTTGATATATTCTCATTTTCCTTAATCAATACTTTGATATCAAACAGTTACAATTCATGCCATTTTCAAAAGAGGATTGGCAATGATATGTTCAATAATTTGCTGTGAAAGGAGAAGAAAATTGGGGGTTGATGCTTCTTCCTGGTCTTAGTGGACTGTTTTGTTTTACCAGTGCAACATGCAGAAACAGATGGAGAAGAATAGCAACAAATAGAACTGCAGGAGGTTTTGTTTCTCAGCCAGATAAGAAAAATTGGCAAAACTAAAATTGCTTGAGATTGATCTATGCTACCGAAAAATTGACTTTATTTAAAAAAAAACAAAAAACAAAAAACAAAGTAGAAACCTTGAAAGCTTTACTTCAAACAAATCTAAAATGTTCCTTTCCAATTTTTAAAAGTAATATAGAATTATGCAGGTAAATTTGATCTAAAGTAATTTTACAAAAGAAAGAATAAAATATTGAAAATCTTGCTTTGAGACTAATTTCTGTAAATACAAATTATTGTTTCTGATAAGAGTGGAGGTGACTTTCTTTCCATTGCATTAACTGTTGATGGTATATATTTTAGGGTTTAACTGTATATTCCCAAATTTTAGATGAACCTTTACTGGAGAACAGTCTTTGTGACAATGTACTCTATGCTAACAGCGCAGTGATCAGATGCTCCCCTGCAGTGGCCTGGCTGCAGTGGTGAATGAATTATCTTTCAACTTCCAATACTGCCACATGTCCCTGATATGATGGACATCTTTTTGGAGATAGGATGAGGAAGAACCAGGGCAGAAATAGCAGCCAAAGGTGATGGTGCGTCCGTTTTCTTTCTTTTCTTTCTTTCTTTCTTTCTTTCTTTCTTTCTTTCTTTCCTTCTTTCTTTCTTTCTTTCTGTAGGGGTTGTGCTTTCGTTCGGGCTTTCTTCAGGACTTCGGGGATTAGGAGTCACGGGGTCACTTCTTTCCGAGGCGTCCTTGCTGCCTTCCTTTGGCACTTCCCCTCTCTCTTTCCTTTCTCCTTTCTCCCTTCTCTCTCCTCTCTCCTCCTCTCTTACTCTCTCTTCCCTTCTCTTTCTCTCTCTTTCTCTTTCTTTCTCTTTCTTTCTCTTTTTCTTTCTTTCTTTCTTCTCTCTCTTGCTCTCTTCTCTCTCTCTCTCCTCTCTTTTCTCTCTCTCTCTCTCTCTTTCTCTCTCTCTCTTTTCCTCCCTTCCTTCCTTCCTCTCTTCCTCCCTTCTTTCCTCTCTTCCTCCCTTCTTCCCTTTCTGTAAATTAATTTTCCTTCCCTTAAAAAAGTGTTGCTTTTGATGATTTTGGCCGTTGGAAACCTTTTTTGAACGACAAACTATTGAATGTTCCGTTTTGACATTTTCTGAAGGGAAGTTCCTTCTTTGATCTGAAATTCTGCTCATCTCCAGTTATCGCTATACTGAGTTGGAAAATAGCTGTAATGAGAGCAAATAGCAGCTGTGCAGCCCAGCCACCCCTTTCTGCCCATCCTGATGTAGCGGGTACTCACTCTGTGGAAATCTGGGTGGATTGTCATTGACATCAGAGAGGGTGATGTTGACTGTGGTTGTTCCAGCTAATCCTCCCAGCTGTCCACCCATATCCTTGGCCTGGATAATCACTTCGTAATATTCTTTTGCTTCTCTGTCCATGTTCATCAGAGCTGTCCTAATTAAGCCTGTGAGATTGAGAGGGGAAAGAGGTTTGGGGAGCAAAAGAAATGGCCATTAAAGAGTGCACAAACAAGGCAGGGTGGTCTTGCTCCTGCATCCTAGTCCCTGCATAAAGAATGAGACCAGACTGTGCATTCAGTCTCACCTTTGCTGGCACAGTAAAGTTCACCCAAATTAAATTTAGGCTAACAGAAGGTGTGAATTTTAAAGGAGCCCAGTTAAAGTGCATCAGCTGTGGGGCAGGCTGCCTGTTCAAAATTAAAACGCTGCCTTCCAAGGGAGCTGGAAAAGTATTTCGGGAACAGCGCTGAATTACGGCCCTGCTCAGGCTGAAAACGTCCATGCAAAAGGGGGAAGTAATGGGATCAGTGCAAAGCTACACCACGAGGAGTTTTACAGGGCGCCCCTCCACACGCAGCCCTGCAGGCAAGCCAAGGAAAGCCACGGCCTTCGCTCGCCCTCCTTGGCCGGGGGCGACGGGAGCAGAGTTTGTGGGGCGCTGGAAATGCCGCCCTGTGGGAGCGAGAGGGCAGGGGTGGCCGTCCCTTTGCTGAGGGGCGACATTTCTGCGACAGGCCGTGAGGTGGCAGCAACGCTTCTCCTATGGAGGCTGCCAGCAGCCGGCCCCAGCAACGGGACACTGCAGCGCTCAGGGCCCATGCTAGGCCGGGCAGGGATATGGGGGTGTCCCACCACACGGCTGTGGTACGTGTGGGTGTCCCACCACACGGCTGTGGTACGTGTTGGTGTCCCACCACACAGCCAGAGCAATGGTGGGTGTCCCGGCACCCGTCCCCCTCAGCCCCAGCACCCACCCCCTTCACGCATCTCAACATGCGCCGCTTGCACATCCAGGCACTGCTGGCCTGAGTGATGGGCGTTTAGTCTTTATTTTTAGCAGACAGACAATGTATGGGTTTAATAAAAAAGCAGTAAAAAGATATTGCATCGGCAATTATCGCTGTATGTAAAAGGAAAGAAATAGCGACCAGAACTGAACAATTCGCAGTGCACTATTTTATTCGTGCTACCTGGAGTCCTTAAGAGCCTCATCTTGCAAAGTTGAGCGACTCCCATGAAGTGCTGTAGCTCCTCAACTCTCATGAATGTAAATAAGATATGAAAACACACAGCACTTTGGAAAAGTATTTTCTCCATAAAGAAATACTTTTTATGGAATTTCCACTCCTGGCTTGGCCTTAATACAGCACAAGCTACAGCTAAAAAAGACATCGGTGCCTACATTTGGGGCCTCTTGTCCCTAGATGAGGGCTAGTTCAAGCACACCAGCACTCAGAGCCACATCAGAGTCCCACACTCCGTCTTCTCCCACCTCCATCCTCCTCTGACAGGGTTGGCTCTTCTGGGAAAGCAGTGCAGATAACTGGCATTTTTTGAAGGAAAATGTAGGTTCCTACAAGGTCCCCATCACCTGGATGCTTGGCCTCCCTATGTAATGTCTGTTGGAGGGGGTCATACTTCTCCAAGCAGGACACTGAGTAGTAGCCATGCAGGGAGTCTCCTATGCTTATGCACACAACTGTTTGGCAAAGGAATAATCCCTTCCTTTGGGGAGGGCTCAGATCCTCCAAAATTAGGTGCAGGTATCATTTCTTTCAGCAGACTGAGTGGGGCTTACTTTTAAAGACTAGTAAAGAGCAGAGGTGATGTCCCTTCTTTTCTGTAACAGACAAATGGTTTCTTGGGATGTGGGAGACTCAGGTGCCTTTCCCTACTACACTTGAGGGGACTTAAATCCACATTTTTTACCTTCTAGGAGAATATGATCATGGACAGGCCGTAAAAGTACTCTGGGAAAAAGTAGGAGGAGAATCTCAGCCCGTCCTTGAAGTGATTTACATATACATTAATACGACACTTGTGAGGCCAGCAGCAGCACAAAACCAGGAGCACTATTCCTGAGCTAGTTTATGTTGGGAGGTAAATGATAAAGACCTCAAGTGCTGCTGGCAGACGAATGTATTGAAATGGGTTGCCCACCACCATGTGCTTTGCTCGCTAGCCACCACTACAAAGGAATTGGTGATGATTTATGGACCAGTTCTGCTTTAGGAGAATGTGAGAGGGACAATTGCATTTTGTGGGTTAGAGAACACTGCAGGTCAGTTTGGGAAGCTCGTTTGAGCTGTGCCTGTAATGGGAGAACAGTTTCTGGATCACAACTGTATGTAGCCTAAATGGGTGCCTTGATAACTGTTGTGAAGGCTAAGGCTGCCCTGAATGTATCCTGAGATGCAGGACTAAGTGACTGGGAAATTTCTAAATGGAGAAAGAGGACGTTTTCTGGGTTAAACAGCAACCAAGTACATGATTTTGTACTTAGGGACCTACCTTCTGCCTAAATTGCACTCCATTTGTTAAGTCTATACTGGATCTGAAGCTGAATATTGCCTCTGCTTTCTTAGAAATCATTCAACACTAACAAAAATTATGCCCTTATTTGTCCGTGCTTTATAAGCTGATTCCGAAATGAACATTACTGTTTTCGTATAGGGCAGACTTGCCACATACAAATTTGTCTTTGGATAATGCACCTACTCCATAAACTGCTAACTTTTAGAAGTGGATTATGTAGTGTTTTTTTTTTTTTTTTTTTTTTTTTTTTTTTTTTCTTCTTCTTCTTATTTTGCACCCTACGGCTCAGCAGTGACTATCATCTCATGATTTTCTGACCTTAGCACTACAGATGCCCTTTAGAAACTGTCAAAACCTGTCAGATTCCTCTTTTGGATATAATCCTTAGCTATATACAGAAAAAGAGTGAGAAAGCAAGTAAAACAGAGAGGTTGTCTTGTAGATAAATTTAAGGTTATTAACAAGAACACCCTTAGGTAAAACTACTCTAGGTAACTGCATCCTTCAACTTGTACTTTCCAGTTCTGGTTACCAAGTAGATCTGTTGAAGTCATCATTCCAGTGATAAAAGCCGACAAGGATGTTTGCAGCACTGAACACACACAGCTCCCTAACTGCAGAATATGGTCATTCAGATGAACATATCACTGCAGAGAGCACATCCTTCTTCTGGGGTTCATTACAACAGTCTTGCTCTAACCCTTTCAGAGTGCTGCCCTATGTTGGCTCCATGCCATTGAAACATGTTTCTGTGGCCACAGTCATGATGCACTGCTTTTTCTTTCTGCTTGAAATGTTTTCTTTCAGTTTTTACATTGGCTTATTCCCTGGTGAAATGATATACCTGTCCGAGAGTCCACAGAGAAATATGGTTGTCCTTGGAGAATACTGTACACTACTCTCGCACTGTTCCCATAGGTTGGGTCATCAGCATCTGTTGCTGTCACCTGGATAACAGAGGTGCCTGAAAAAAATAAAACAACAAAACAAAACCAAACAAAACCGAACATGAGGTAAGACCTTGTGGGATAAAGAGCTATCTTGAAAAGTACACAGTTCAAAACAAATTGAAATGTCTAACAAGCTTTCCCACACCAAATTTTTCCATTTGATGCTGGAAGTGTTTGTACTTACTGCTCATACTTGTATCTCATTAGCACTAGAGATTAATAGGCATAAATTCATCAAGCATCTTTAAGAAGATATAAAAGTGCAAGTACTCTATGTACCATAGTTGCAAAATTGCTGATCTAACAGTACTATGTGGTAGTTTGCAGACAGTGATTAGTGATATGCTATTTGCTTCTTTCCCCCCCTTTTTTTGCTTTAAAATGTTATTTAAAGTCATTTCAAATAACATCAATAGGTATTCTGACATAAATCACGAATTGCCATGGATGCTATAGGTTGACTAAGGGATGTAAATTGCCCACAAATATTGAGCACGAAGGGATGGATGTCTCTCTGAGATAATCTCTCTCCAGCATTGCAGTTTACATTGCATGGAGTAGAGATTATACCTTGCTAAAGTGCCTTGTGGACCCTGCAGAGATGCATATACTTTTTTTTTTTTTTTTTTTTTCAATTGGTTTTCAAGGTCTGCTTCCTCTAAAGCTAATAATGGCTTGTAGGTGATATAATTTATCAAGAGCAAGGGGAAAGTGAGATGTAACTGTTTGAAATATATGAGAGTTTTGACTCCTTAAAATGTCAGACAATGCCTTAATGAATGTATCTACTCTTCTACATAATGTTTTGTGTTAGAAACAAATCTAGCGTTACTATATACACATTGGAAAAATAACCAAATTCAAACTACTTGCTAATATTAACAAACATTATTTCTGAATGGAACTTTTGAATTTGATACTTGTCTCTAGCTTTATGTCAACATTATACTGAAGAAGGAGAAGTTGAAGCATAGCGGTAACTTCAAAACATGTGATTTATCTCATATTATCTCTGTAATGATTTCTCTGGGCCAGAAAGCAGTATGCATCTCCAAAAGGAAGAAAAAATCCAGTATTTTACACATAGTATTTTATGTGACTATTGGAATTGCTATATGGTAACAGTGTAGGTAGGTAGGCGGGTATTTGCCTTCTGTCAGCACTGCAATAATGGGACTGTTTTTGACATGATCCCACTTTCTAAGAAAGTGTGGAGCAAATAGCACCAGATCTTTGGGATGCAGGCTTACTGGTTTAGAAGGAGCAAAGTTGCTAAAAATTGTTGTCATGTCTATAGGATTTCAAGGGCTCCAGGACACTATTTCGGATCTCAGTATGCCCTAACATAGGTTTCTAGAATTGTGTTATTTTCTGGCTGGTAATGGATGTCTAATGGTCATTACTATTACTACCATCTGATGGCCGGGGAAAAGTGGCACTACACATTATTGCAAGTTGTCTGAGGATGACATGTTCAAATTACACCCTTTTTCAGCTCTTCAGTTCCCCTTCATATATTTTTTTTTAGAGGTGCCCAGTGGATGGTGGTGTAAAGCTTACATTCCTTCTTCTGAGGCAGCCAGGCACTCCTGGGGAAGCTCTCCTGTCCTGCAGCTTTCACAAAGGGCAAAAGCTGAGTCCAAGGAGTCAGGGAGTTGATGTTTTGGTGACTATCTCTAGGTTGGTTATAGGGGCGAAGAGACTCCACAAAATCTGTCTTACCCACAGGTGACATTTCCGGTACAGAGGCTACATATGGTCCATCCAGGAATTTGGGCTCATTGTCGTTGATGTCTTGGATTTTGATGATGAACTCTGACTCCGGTTCCATTGGCCTGCCCGTTCTCCTGTCCAGAGCCTGTGCCCTCAGGGTGTACTGCGACCTTTCTTCACGGTCCAGTCTCTGAATGGCATGAATGTCCCCTGTGGTATCATCGATTGTAAACACAATGCCAGCTCCCTCTCCCGAGAGGATGTATTTGATGGAACCATCTCCTCTATCCATGTCAGAGTGGAGCTGTGGAAAAGACAAGGACTCAATTAGACCAGGAGCAGGGCAAGCAGCTGCTGAGAGATGCTAAGCACATGAATGTCCTGAGCATTTTGGTCTCACTGTTGGGACTCACAAGCTGGTTTTAATGAACTTGTTTTGCTGAAAGAGGAAATGCTCAGTAAAGCCTGTGTCACAGAGTTGCAATTAAAAACCCTGTTCTGTCTTCCCATTTCTGCACCCACAGCTGTGCCAGAAGAAAAGAGGG